GCCCCCTGAGAACAGTGTCTTGACTGATACGGACGAGGAGATAGAGTTTGTACCTGATGACTCCATCTCCTTTGTTGGCCTGGACGGTGCCGTCTACACTTCCTCGGCCAACAGTACCCACGGTTCCATTAGCGGAAGTGCTGGTGCTATGGCTGGCCCTGTGCTCCCGGCTGAGCTCCGCAATGGAAGCAGCGTCTTGAAGGTTTCAAGGAAAGCTCGGCCAAGGAAGATCAATCTTATTTACGAAACAGAAACGAACAAGCTGTCCTGGGACCCTGCTCGCCCCCAAAAGTCACTACACGTGGACGAGATCAGGGAGATTCGGACAGACTCTGACATTCAGCAATACATCCTCGACTTTGGAATGGCCCAGATCACCGAGGCTGACAAGAACCTCTCGGCCAACTGGTTTACCATCATCTACACCGTTCCCGAGAGCTCCAAGACAAAGTTCCTGCACATTGTTACCGACAACATTGCCAGCCGGATCCTTTGGACGGAATTCCTCGACGCCATGCTCAGGTATCGACAGGAGCTCATGACCTCTCTGATGGCCTTTAACGACCGGGCCATTGCCCAGTACTGGCAGAGTGAGATGGCTAGGGAGTTTGGCGATTCGCCTCGTGGCACCGATCAGGAGGAGCTTGACATCGCAGGTGTCAAGCGAGTGTGCCAGAGCCTTCACATCTGCAGCTCCCAGTCAACACTCGAGGTCAACTTTCATCTGGCCGACTCTCGAAGACGCCAGAAGCTCAACTTTACCGAGTTCAAGGACTTTGTGCGGAGGATGAAGCAAAGGACGGATGTTCAGCGTATCATCCGTAGCATTGCTGCTAACCCTGAGCTGGGCCTCACCCTGGCCGAGTTTCTAGATTTTCTCCGCGATGAGCAGGGCGAGGATATTGATTCTAACCGGGCCTCTTGGGAGAAGCTCTTCTCCCGCTACAGCCGCCGATATCGAACTGACGAAGTCGACACTGCCGAGAATGCCCAGATCATGTCGGAAGACGCGTTTGTAGGCTTTCTTACTTCGGAGGACAATGGCCCGATCGCCCCTGAGCCCCAGGAGTACACCCTCGACCGCCCCATGAACGAATACTTTATCTCGAGCTCCCACAACACCTATCTCCTCGGTCGACAAGTTGCTGGCCAGTCTAGCGTTGAGGGCTACATCTCGGCCCTGGTCCGAGGCTGCCGGTGTGTCGAGGTTGACTGCTGGGATGGCTACAATGGCCAGCCCGAGGTCAACCATGGACGTACCATGACGACTTCGATCAGCTTCAAGGAGGTCATGACAACGATTAACAAGTACGCCTTCATCAAGTCCAAGTTTCCTCTTTGGATCTCCCTGGAAGTCCACTGCAACCCCAGTCAGCAGGCCACCATGGTCGAAATTATTAAGGATTGTTTCGGCTCAAGGCTGGTGACGGAGACCCTTGACGCGTTCCCCGACAAGCTCCCCTCCCCTTCGGAGCTTATGGAGCGTGTCCTGATCAAGGTCAAGAAGCCGCAGATTAAGGAGGAGGTTGTCTCCGCTGGCAACGACTTCAGGGGTAGACGCCGAGGCAACAGCCTGAACTCGCCCATGATCCGACCGACCGTTCCCGATAGCGCTGCCATCATGCCCTCGCAGTCTCTCCCCCAGAGCCCGATGCTCACGCCCAGCCACTCGACCCGCAGGTTGGTTAGCAAGACGCGCGTCAACACGATTACCGAGGGCCGGGTCCAGGACATGATGAGCAGCAGCACGAGCGACAACGAGAGTGGAGCCGAACAGGCAGCCAAGAAGGCGCCCAACAAGACGGTCAAGGTGCTCGGTGACTTGGGTGTGTACTGCGCAGGCGTCAAGTTCTCCGGATTCGATACCATGGACGCGAAGCAGTACAACCACATCTTTTCTTTCATGGAGGCGAGCTTTGCCAAGCACTCTCGCACCAAGGAGCAGAAGATGGCGCTGGATATCCACAACATGCGATACATGATGCGAGTCTACCCCGACCGAACCCGTATCACCTCGAACAACTTCGACCCCCTCATCTACTGGCGTCGCGGTGTCCAGATGGCGGCTCTCAACTGGCAGACGTTTGACCTCGGAATGCAGCTCAACCGCGCCATGTTTGACGGTGGCAAGGACTATTCTGGCTACGTTCTGAAGCCCGCAGAGCTTCGCGATATCCAGGTTCTCCCGTACAATTCTGACATCGCAGAGGGTAAGAAGGAGCGCAGCGTCGTGACGTTCAGCATCGATGTCATCTCGGCTCAGCAGCTCATGCGCCCTGCCAACCTCCCCGCCAACAAGTCTATCAACCCCTACGTCGAAGTTGAGGTGTTCCACGCCAACGACAAGCGAGACAAGAAGGAGTCGGAATGCATCCTGTCTCTGGAGCCCGACTCGCCGCCCAAGGTCCAGACGGATATCAAGCCCGAGAATGGCTTTAACCCCATGTTTGATAAGCATTTCAAGTTTCGGGTGACCACAAAGCACCCCGACCTCGTCTTTGTGCGATGGTCAGTCAAGCTCTCGACCGACGGTGAGAGCTTCAACGAGCGACCGGCAGTGGCGACATACACGGCCAAGCTCACCAACCTGAAGCAAGGGTATCGAACCTTGCCTCTCCTTAACCACGCTGGCGACCAGTACCTGTTCTCCAAGCTCTTCTGCAAGATCAAGGTGGACCCGGTCGAAAAGAAGTTGATCGACGCACCTCGGCGCGCCCAGGATGGCGGCAACAAGCTGAACCGTCTGGGCGGCAAGGTGTTTAGCCGGATCAACACCAGCCCCAAAAGCACGATTGAGAAGTCAAGCTCAGAGAAGACGAGCTTTGACAGTTATTGATGATTTAGCGATTTCATCTGTACGAACATGTTTCTACTACCACTACTACTACTACTTCTTGGACATATTATTACTTATTTGTTTCTTGGATTCGACACGAACGCGCCGCAGCCGCGATTCGACCGACTGGATACCATCCTCGACAACGAATTCTGGGTGTTGGTCTTTGGCCAGCAGTGCATTCACCTCGATCCCGCATTTCTATCCCATGATCCCAAGAGGATCCGGGCGCGACAGGCGGTGGGATTGTCTAGGGAGTTGTGACTCTCATGGCTGAAACCACACCCGTTCTCTTCGCTTCTTTTCTTGTCTCTTTACTATTTGGGTTGAAGCGTTTCAATAACCCCTTTTTTTCTTCAACAGCACCACTTGGTGTACAACGATTCCCTTTGTCAAAACAACGGCGCATGAAAAAAAAACTAAAGATGGATGAATACCCCCTTGAGCGTGGATAGGTGTTGGGTCATCTTGGTTTCAACTTTTGTTTTTTTTCTTTTCTATGTTATCTATTGGGGACAGCACACACACACACACACACACACACACACACACACACACACGCAATACAGGCAAGGGGATTTTTATTTGGGATATGGGAATGAAAAAGGAGTCTGCATATACCACGCTTGGCCGTGTTTTTGGGAGCGTCAAAGGAAACTAGCATTGCACTGGAACCGGAATCACAACGTATTTTATAGACTGGCACAAGGCAGGGAAACCAACCAACAACCGCTTGGGACATTTGTTCTTGTTATGCTGAAAAGCTCATTTTTCTTGATTCTTCACACACACTCTTGTCACTGGATGCTTGTTTTACGACATGATGTTTTGAACCTTGAACGCAAAGGGGATGCAAAGGAGAGGACGTGTCAAGGCGAGCGAACGAGGTCACTGCGAAACAAAAGCACGAGACGGAGATGGAGATGAAGACAAGGTGGTGGGAACAGTTGGGGAATCTCCTCATTGGAGGCCGCCTTCACAGGGAACGAAACGGAGCATCTTTTCTTTTTACTCTTGGGGATCGACATTGGGGAAATCATGATATACACATACCGGTGGCTCACGCTACACACGACATCATATCTGGGGGCCACCTCGGGAACTTATGGTCTGGGCAGGGGAGGGCGTCTCTCTTTCTTACCCCCTTTTTCAGTATGGGCGTACTCTAGGCTAGGCGTTTTTTCTCCTCCTGTCAGTTTCATTTTACAGACCTTTTTGGGATGATGAATGAAATGAATCTTTCTTCAACACACTACCTAACAGAAAGGTGAAACCTCCGCTGTGATGTACAGATAACACACACGACGACATCCTTGTTTCGACTAACTCGTTCGTTAATCTCCACACTAAACCAGGGGCTAATTCCGCGTTTCTTTGGGGAGGGGGGGCAAAAAAAAGATACGAAATGGTACGATTTAGCATTTCTTCGTCTGATCTATTTCCCTTTCATCGGCCGCGCGCCGAAAGGTAGGGAGGGGTGTGTGTGTTAAAACGGCCCCTGCTCTCCACACCAAGGTCGATCTCGGTAGATCGGGGGGGGGACCCTTGGGAGAAAGAAGCGAAGGGGGGGTAGAGATTTGTCGTTTCTGCGGGGTGATGGGAAGTTATTCTCGGTGAGGCGGTGAAGGATTGAGATACGAGTTGTGTATAGCATCACGAGTAAGTCTTGTAGCTTTGACCTCTAAGGCGGTCAAGTTTGAGTTTCAAGACTATAAAACTCGCAAGAAAAAAACTGGCGGTGAGATTCAGGGTCCAAAGATCGACGAAAGGGCAAGAAAAAGCGTTTGTAGATCAGGGACTAAGGACCATCAACTTCGGACAAAAAAAGGCCGTTTTGTATAAAATCTTAAGTCAAACAACATTCCCGAGTCATGCTAGGTAAAAAGATAGATGGTATTTGGAGTCATATTCATACATCTCTCATCTCCCCCCTTAAACCCAAGAACCAAAAAAGACAACAAGAATAACAAGAAGATTACAAATATATCTTGTGCCAGAAGAAGAAGAAGAAGAAAAAAAGACATACACACGTATTAACTCCGCAGCTCATGACAAAAGTTCCCTATCGTGATAAAAACATATCGGTCCTCTTTTTTGTTTGCTTCTCATGCCACACGCTTCGCATACACGTATAAAAGAGAGAAAAAAACAAACGGTCTTTCTTCTAATCGACACCCTCGTCTTGGAATCTGGGACTCGGTGTCCGGTTGAGGCTTGTCTGCGAACCCCCCTTACGAAGCATGCCACTTGCACCGCCGCGACCCCAGTTGCCGTTAGTAACGACGTCCATGGCCCGGTTCTCAGCTTCTTCACGGCGCTGAGCTTCGGATGTGAAGGCACCTGGAGTCAACTTCTTATCTTCGCTGGCATCATCCGTGGACTCGTCATCCTCATCATCCAGATCATCGAGCTCATCCTCTAATGTCCGACCTCGAGGGCTCAGCCGCCGCATAGGCACGTTCTGCGTCGCGTCGGCGTAGAGGTTGGGATCACGTCCGAGGACCCGGTCTGCCTTGCTCATGGGCCTGTTACCCGCGAGCTGCTGAGGGCCAGGTGAGAAATGTCGTCCTGCACCGGTCGGTCGCTCAGGAATGTCGGGGATGTCATCAGGGGATCCCCAGCCGGCATTGACCTCGCGGAGCCTTTGCTCCTCACGCTCAGCACGGAGCTTATCCCGTGCCTCGAGCCACCTGCTGCTCGCCTCCCATGTCCAACCGTCTCCGGTTGTGTTGCAGACAGGGAAGAACCAGAGAAAGGGAGTTGGGCCAAACAGGTGTAGAAGATTGCGCTTCGGGCCGAGATCGAAGACATTAGGGAGCTTCTCGGAGTCTTGTTCATCAAGATATTCCTCGTAGCGTTTTTGCCTCTGCTCTCGTTCTCGCTGGGCATATGACATCTGAACAGGATGCGAACCATCAGGGGGGTAAGTCCGGGGTAGCTCCTCACCCTCTTCAGGCCGTGTAATTCCAGGCAAGGCATTGGTGTGAAAGTCGACAAATTGCTGAGCACCCTGAGGAAGATGGTTGGCAGGATCATGAGCGGTGTTGTACGCCTTACGCAGAGGAGAAAGATACCGCGTCTTCTCCAAACACTCAATCGTAGTCTGACCGCGGCTGGCGAGATGAATATGCCATCCAGTAAACGCTCCCACAACAATGCTGATGATACCGCTAATGACGCTCAGCATGATAAAGTTGACAGGCATGAAACTCTCAGTATAGTCCTGCTCCTCCAGAGCCTCGTACCACACCCAGGAGCCGCTAACAGCAAAGCTCCAGAAGCAGAAGAGCGTGGTGTAGATGAGGAACAGCAGAAAGGCCTTGTGGTTGCGCAGACCAATGCAGGTGGCCAGCCAAGGACAGTGGTGATCCATCTTGAGTACACATCGGCGGCACGTTGAGCAGTGGTGGGCGCGATCGGGCTTGCGGGCCTGGCACTTCTTGCAGAATCGCAACTCGCCATTGCTCTTGACGGTGTAAGACGTGGCCGGAGGCGCATTCTGCGTAGGTAGAAGGCCGTAGCCCATATCGTTCGTCGTGGAACCGGGAGGAGTAAAGACGGCCGTGGTGTAGCACCAGTTGAGCAAGAGGTAGAGGGCGACGCCGACGGCAGAAGAGCCGTTACCTTGGAGGTTGTTAGTTCTCGCCATCTATTCACCCTAGGTGGTGACATACCTCTCCAGCTACTCTTCTTACTGGCGCTACCAACGTTGACAACAACCCATACAGCCCATGTTGTCAATCCATAGACAAACACGAGTGGAAAGTATGTCGCAAATGTGCAGCACGCCCTCTCCATCTTGCGCGCCCATCGACGAGCCGTCGCCGCCATGATCGTCGCTTTCTCGTCTTCGCTCGCGGGGATGAATTGTGGAAAAAAAAAAAAAAAAAAAAGAGAATGTTCTATTTATCGCGGATTCTTCGCTCTTAACAAATATTGATCATCGACGGGACTCGCGGCTGTCATGACATTCGAACAGGGGACAAAACGGTCGGCGTCTAACAAGGGTGAAGCTATCGCCAGAAGCTATCGGATCGCGACTCGGAATGCCGGGCCAGGTGTTCAAATGGACGGAATCAGCCGCGGCGTCTTGGGCCTCCCCGTGATTGCTCGTATCGACTCGTTAAAAGATGAAATAACAAGGTGGTGACGGATGCTGAGGCTGTGGTAAGCTGGGCGGATTATCTCGAAATTAGAGAGAGAGAGCTTAGGTCATCAGGGGCTTGCCTCCAACGTCTCCGGGCCCGTGGGTTCCACAAGGAAGGGATGGGCTCCGCTCCGTTCAACGGGTCTTGGTGGGAACTCCGCCTCAATCAACGCGTGTATCAGTTCGATTATGCTGATTGTGCTTGCAAGTAAATGCATTGAATAGCTGATACAAATACAGATCCAGATTCTACGGCAGATGTTTTTGTCACGTTATCGACCTTGGGCTTGGCACTTGATTTTTGGGGCCTTGACATCCACCACCACATGTCCGTCATCTTCACCAACCTCAGACTAACACGTGCAGCGCAATCTATGGCTGCTGCTAGCAGATAAACCACTTTGATTGCGAATACGATGTCAATTAAAGCAATGCTAACTCATTAATTCATGGGCCCTGATCTTATTCTTGCTTGGCCGTTTCGCTGGTATCCCCTCCCAAAAACACATCAACCACAAATGCAAATCCGTTTCTCCGCAACTCCGCAACCATGCCAGCCTTTAATACCTTGACGCTTCAAAACACTTGACAGAGGATAGATCATTTAGCACTTGACCGGGTGATCTGGCTGCCAGTCCAAGGATCAATCTCAAACTCCTCGAAGCTAGGCTGGAACTGCTTAGTCTTTAGTAGCTCGGCCTTGAGGGGCAGAGGCTTGGAGAGCTCCGTCTTGAGGAGTTGAGGCTTGGAGGGCTCAGTCTTGACCGACTGAGGCTTAAGAGGCACCAGTGCGTAAGACCCAGTCTTGAGAGGCTGAGGTCTGAGAGGCGTTGTTTTGACCGGGAGAAGCTTGGAAGACTCTGGCTTGAGTAGTTCAGCCTTGAGGGGCTTGACAGACTTAGACTTGGAAAGCTCGGTCTCGAGGGGCTTGAACGGCTGAGACTTAAAGGGCTCGGGCTTAACAAGCTCTGGCTCCTTAGCCTTGGGTGGCTGAGGCTTGAAAAGCTCAGTCTTGAGCGGCTCCGACTTGGGAGGCTGAGGCTTGGAAGGCTCTGGCTCCTTGCGGCGGAAGTTCTTGGAAACCTCATACTTGACAGTGCCGTCATCATGGCGGCGAACAGAGACATCCGCCAGACCACCCGTCAGCTGGTCGATCAAGGCGCCATACGTGTCAGTTTCGCGCACTCGGCATCTGACACTGCTGTCCTCTGCATGCGAAGTGATGGCGGCAAGTGAATTGAAAGTCCGGAGGCAGTAGGGGCAGCGGTACTTGGTTCCCGAGTGAGTTGGCGACTTGAGATGTCCGATGATGCCGCGGGAGTTCTTGAAGGTTTTTCTGCTCATGGTTAGTGTTTGCACCCTTTGTTGGAAACCAGAAATGTGTGACTTACCCGCATCCTATGACGGGACAGACGTACTTGTCAATGATAGGCTGGTAGTACCGGGCGACATTGAACTTGGGATGGGTTGGATCATTAACATTCAACCATTCATCCCAATCCTGTGGCCCAGGGGCAGCAGCCGCCTCCAGCTGTTCCTTTGTGGGCTTCTCCGCTGGGGGCGCGTCAGGGAACAGCTTCTTGCCCGAATCCCACTCCCAGGGCGCAATGTTCTCCTTGTTGTCGGTATGGTCGACGGTGGACTCGGGCTTGCAGAGATCGGGGAACTCCTTCTTCTCAAGCTTGAAGGCCTCGATCTTGCTCTCAACCTCTTCGTAGTCGTAGCTACCACCGCTAGCGGCAGGCATATAGTGTCCGTAGTTTGCCTTGACGGGCTCGTTGGTCATGGCCTGGAGCTGGGTGGCAAACTCCATCTTCTCCTCACGAAGGTGCTCCAGGAACGACACATCCAGGGTGCTACATTCGTTCTGGATATGATGGAGGAGGCCACCTAGCTTGGCAAAGGGGCCCTGGTTGCATCCTGGGCACTGAAGGTCCTGTGCCTGGGGGTGGCTCTGCGTCAAGTTAGCACCGCATTTGTCGTTTCCTGGAGAGAGAAATCACCGACCTGGTGGATGTGCGTCATGTGGGCGACCTCAGTCTTGAAGTCCATGCCACAGAACTTGCAATGAATGTGTTTGGCCTTGCCAGCGCGTCGCATAATATCTTTATGCTTTAGAAGCCGCTCCCATGTCGGAAACCTGATCTGGCACGGCTTGCACAGAAACGTGCCGTCGGCTTGGAGACCAGAAGGCATCGTGAGTGGATGTAGCGAGCGGTTAGTAGGTGATTGTTAGTGATAGAAGGTGTACGCTTGACAATAGCAAATGCTTTGTTGATAGCAGGTGTGTTGCTTTGTGGTCACAGGTGCTTGTTTTGCTTGAGGATAAGCAGAAGTTTTTCCTGTGAAGCAGCAGAATGTGTGATGCAGGGTTCACGATTGGCGAGGGGAAGAGCAGTGCGAGTGCACTGCACTGCAATTTATGAGTAAATGAGCAACAGCGGATAGAGTTAGTTGCCTTAGGCAACCTGAGTGAAGCATTCAACAATATTTTGATTGCCCTTAGGTACGGTTGAGGGGCAGCTCGGCGATAAACACAAACCAAGGTTTTGAGAGGGGAAGGTGTTGATTCCTGAAGGATATCGTGCGCAGGGAGTCAGAGGGGAGTGTGCCTCGAGGTCTTGTCCCCTTGACTTACTTCGAGGCCAACGCTCAGATACCTATGCAAAAGCAGGATTCGAGACATAAGACGACCAACTTCGTCAACTACCTGATTCAATTAACCTCCATAAGGACATGCAGCTTGTCAAATGAAGTTCCCCTTAGCCATATATGGTATCTCCATCCAGATCAACGTCTCTACTGCTCCTTGTAGGCACATCTCCATCTTCATCATCCCCAGACTCGTCGTCGTCATCGCCACTCCCGGAATCATCAGCCCCTGATTCCATCTCAAGTCCCAGCAACTGTGCTTCTTCGTTCTGCGAGTCGGCCGCCGACGAAGGTTCGGCCGCCTTCTTCGCTGCATTGGGATCCCTAACTCTTACGCTGTAGCCTTTGTGCTTATTCTTCTTTGTCGGCTGTCGTCCTCGGAGTTGCGTCAGCTCCTCATCCGTCAGACGAAGGTTCGGCAGAGGCAGATGGAAGGTTGCCTGATTCGATCGCACAGGCGTTTGATCTCCGGTCTGTAACGTCATTGCGAAATCTTCTCGAGTAAGGTGTCGGTCAAACTGGATGGCGACAAGCTTCGTCTTCATGATAGCTTTAACCTTGGCCCAGAGTCCGCCGTGATACCATCCACTGCTTGGATCCCATTCGGGCCTTACCGCAGCGTTGTCCAAGAGCTCCCTGAGCAAGGGGTCAGTAATATCGCACACCTGCCACACCTTGCCATCAGTGTGAAATGTCTCTCCGTCAAAGATGTGACTCTCCGAGAGTTCTTCCAGAAACTCCTTGAGAGGCCCCATTTGGACCCTGCGTAATGACTTCCATGTTTGGCCTCGCTGGGCGCGCTTCTGTTTCGGGAGCTTGAACATGAGAGTCTGATAGACCCGATACTTGGGATCGGTCCTTGGATCAATGCCGTACGGGACCACACCGTCTCTCCATGGACCTCCCTTGAACTGGTATGCTGCGTAGTTGAGGTACTTTTTCAATTCGTTCCAGTTCTTGAGCTTTCCTCCCAGGTGGTTGAGCAGAGACCGTCGTGTCCACACCGGCCGTGCTTCAAACGCAGCCTCCAACTCGGCCATGATCTCCACCATTCGGGGGTCGGTCAAGTCAGGGGCGAGTTGAGGGCCGGCAGGTGAAGGATCCTCGGCTCCAATAAAGTATCCGACTTGCTTGACGGCGGTCGTGTTGACTGTTCCACCATCCTCCGTGGCTCGTACATACGGATTTTGGGAGTATTGATAGTTGAATGGGAGGCTCATATGTGTAAACATGGGTGGTGGAAGGATGTCGACATTTGGCCCTTGGTCGGTCCCGGGAAGAAACTTGAATTCCTTGATCTTGTCGACTATAGCATTGTCAGGACCTGCTTCGAGAATAATAGGAGAATCTCTCAACGTACCGTCTCCAGGGAGAACCTGGTCTACGTATCGCTGGGCAAATGCAGACTTGGGCATGTCCCAGTAGAAATCTGCGAGGCCACGGAAACGATGCGTGTTCTTGATCACACCCACAGCCTCGACTTGATACTTGTCGACGTTGTCTGCCATCTTTCGACGCAATACCTTTGGATCATCTAGTCGCGCGTAGGATGACACTTCATCCTTGGGAGGCTCAGCTTCAGCGTCGACCACCTCAATGTCTCCTTCCCATGGGCCTTCCGTTCCCCTCTTTCGTTTCCTGCCTGTCCTTCTGGGGACCGTCACTTTGAGAACCACATTGTGACTCCTTGCATTGTGCGACATGATGGGTTTGCAGAATGGGCTCTCGGGGGTTAGATAGAAGGGGATAGAGTTTCTGCTTGTATCCATCACCTGTTTGCACTGTTAGACCGCAATAGTCATGGAACGCGACAAAGAGTCACATACATGTTGAAGGTTAGGGACTCGGCCGAAGGCTTTGACAGCTCTGTCGACATTTTCCACAACAGCGGGAATCTCGACAGCCCCGAGAACGCGAGCAGGGACCGTGTACTTGGGAGCTGATTCTGGAGCTGGTCGAGCAGGCCTTTCAGCGCGGATTTCTCTGCGTGATTGATCATCGTCAAGGCTTTCATAGCCGTTCTCATCGGAGGACGGGTCAATCTCCATGTTCTTTTAGTTGCCGTAGAGGATCGAACGAATGATAGAGGATATCCCCGGCCGCTGCGATTGGGGTCACAAAGAGTACCCAATTATTCCGCGGCTCTGGTGATCAAGAACTATTGCATTGCATACGTATAAGTTCTGCAAGAGCCCAGCGCTGCAGTCTTTGGTAAAAAGTATGCACGTTGGAGCTTCCGGAATCTGCACCAAGGCTAACCGAGTGTGGATTGGCTGCACGTGCCAAGAAAAGGGGATGAAGAGATGAAGTGCCGGGACAGGGCCACGTGTGGGTTATTTCCCGCCGAAGGGGACCCGAGGAAGTGCGGGAAGACAATGAAGCCCGTTGATGCCGTTGCAATCGATCCACGATGATGTTTGCTTGACGTGATTCTCACCAGGTTGAGCTGTGGCTCAGCTAGAGCTCTCTCCTGCGTTTCAAAAGTTGTGTGGCTGGAAAGCCCCACATGGTCTGTGCATGGGAGCTGATCGTCTCCTGTCGCTTATCATTCTCCAGCTTCATATTTGCACAGGCCAGTCAATAATACGCGGGTTAAGATTTCTCAATGGCCGAGATGAAAGAGAAATGCGCAAACTCTTGTTTTCTCGCAAGTCGGGCAGACCGGATTTGCGCCTCGTTTTACTGAATCGAGACTTATGCCCATCGTGATAAGCTGACCCTCTCCAGGCAGCTGAGGCTGATTTTCACCCGCCCAAAAGGCAACAAGCAACTTTTCACACCCGGTGACACTCCAAACGGGCTCCCTTGACTCCCTTGTTACTCCTGTCATCAGAATCTTAAAAAACGCCTTACGGGCAGTCAAACATTCCTACAGCGGTCGATTACTTCATCGTCTGTACGTAGGGTTTAGAACGAGAACGGCTGGAATCCAACAGGCCAGCCATTTCAAAGATGCTGTGACAGTCTGGACGGGAGCGTCCCGACCCAATGGAGCCGCTCAAGCCCAGGCTTCGATGACCCGCTGCCCTGCACCTCTAGCGATCAAATGCGCGGCACAGCCTCAGGCGCCTTGGGGTCCATCAGGAGGGGCACATCCCCTAATGCGCCCTATGCAGCAGAAGCAGCCGCCTGATTTCACCGCCCGTCCCAGCACCCATCGCAGCCCAGGCCAGTCCAGGTGCAGCCAGTGACAGAGAGGCCGGGGAGCAGGGCGTCGACCGGTGTCAAGGAGAGCTCCCGAGCTGTTAGTGATCTCATAGCAATCTCGCCTGAACGCTAACATCTGGTGATCCAATCCAACCAATCCAATACGCACTTGCGCCCAGGTCACACCTCCCTCTCCAATTATCGACCGCGTTCCCTCCAAGCTTCCCCCCCGCAAAGCACCTGGCACTGGCAGAGCACAACCTACCTACCTCTCTCCGCCGGCGCCCAACAACGACGACGACGACAAGTTTCCAATCCGGCAACGACAACAACGAGGCTCGACTCAGCAGCCGCCGCGAGCATCGACCACGCCGCGTCCCTCTTCTCCCTCCCACCCCTTCCCCTTCATCTTACGACCTTCAATCCTATCCTCTTTTTTTTTTCTTCTTGGCCTCCTTGAGACAGACAGCAGCACAGCACCCATAAGCATCAGCAGCAGCAGCAAGCAGCAGCAACGAGAGCGACTGGAAGCCCCCGTTTCCGCCCTCCTGCGCAAGTGCCAGCGCCTCAGCGCCAGCGCCCAGGAGCCTGCACCGCCGCCCAAAGACCCGACATTCATCGATCTCCATCCCGTCCCAACAACAACAATAAGACCCTGAGCCCTGGCTGGTTCAGTGCCTACCCCGTCCTTCTGCCTCTGCCTGCGTGGGAGGAGACGTCGCAATTCATCTCCTCGTGTCGCCTTTTCGAACTGGCTGCCTTCTCAGCTTGGTTCGTCCAGCCTTGAGACTCGAGCCTCGACTCCTAGCTCTCTCTCCCACTCACTCGCACTCGCACTGGCGGCATCCGTCACGTCCCTCGTCCGGCTCCCGAAGGCACCACCCTTTTATCAGGCTGGCCCCTCCTCCCTCCATCACCCTGACCTGAGATCGATCGCTCGCCCACGACGATTTCTCGCCGTCCCCCATCGCCACGACGTCTCGATCGACCGAACCTGTCGTCCGCATAGCTGCTGTCATTCCTTCGACGGCGCTTTGCCCCTGACGTCGTTGCCCCGGTGCCCCACTGCCCTCATAGAGTCGAGCAGCGGGCGTCTTAAACCGCCCCTCCACCACAAGACACGCTGTTGTCCGACAAGATGAAGCGCTTCAGCCAGAGAGTTGTAGGAACCCCTCGGGCCCCCTGCCCTCTCGCCGTCCCCGTCCCCGACGCTAACGTACCCCTCTCCAGCTCTCGCGTGGGAAAGATTCAAGCAAGTCTTCTAAGAAGAACAAGGATTCTAAGGATGGTACCGCGTCTCCCTCATCACGGGACTCTAATCAGTCTCCTGTCCTGACGCCCACATCCTCCACGTCGACCCTGAATGACCCCCGAAACAAGCCGCTGCCCCAAAACAATGCTGGCCATGGAAGCGAACACGGTAGCGCCTCGCAGCCCTCCAACCTCTCCAACGTCACTCAGGCCGGTAATGCCCCTGACCGTTTTGGTTCCGGAGGTGCTTCGAGCCCCAACGGCAGCAACGCCAACGCCAGGTTGCCTCCAACTGTTATCATCAGCCCGACGCCTGGTGTATGTTATCCCCTTCTCTCGCCCTGCCCTCAACCCAGAGCATTGCAGCTGACAACCAATCCGCGCAGCATGTCCCTCCCCCAGGAGCCGCCGAGACGATGCCTCACGACCTCGCTCCCCCCAAAGCTGGCCAGAAGTCGCTCCTGATCCATCGCGGAATAGATAACCGGGATGCGATTCCCGAGGGACTCCGGACCCCGAAAAGGCAGCACTCGTCACGATTCGACATTTCTGCCCACCGCGAGCTCGAGAAGTTGCCCGGCTTCCATGAAGTCCCTCCCAATCGACGACAGGAGCTCTTTATGCAAAAGATTGACCAGTGCAACGTCATTTTCGACTTCAATGATGCGAGTGGAGACATGAAGTCCAAGGAGATCAAGAGGCTTGCTCTGCACGAGCTGCTCGACTATGTTGCTAACAACCGACAAGTCATCACCGAGCCCATGTATCCCAAGGTCGTCGACATGTTTGCCAAGAACCTGTTCCGCCCAATCCCGCCTCCCATGAACCCTCAGGGCGAGGCCTTTGATCCAGAGGAGGATGAGCCCGTTCTCGAGGTTGCCTGGCCACATATCCAGGTTGTTTATGAGTTTTTCCTGCGCTTCATTGAGAGCCAGGATTTCAACACCAACATTGCCAAGGCCTATATCGACCACAGCTTCGTCCTGCAGCTTCTGGAGCTGTTTGACTCGGAGGATCCTCGTGAAAGAGACTTTTTGAAGACGACCCTCCATCGCATTTATGGAAAATTCCTCAACCTGCGCTCCTTCATTCGACGATCCATCAACAACGTCTTCTTCCAGTTCACCTATGAAACCGAACGCTTCAATGGTATTGCCGAGCTGCTCGAGATTCTTGGTTCCATCATCAACGGATTCGCTCTCCCACTGAAGGAAGAGCACAAGATCTTCCTGACACGGGTGCTGCTGCCCTTGCACAAGCCCAAGAGTCTCAGCATGTACCACCCTCAGCTTGCCTACTGTATTGTGCAATTCTTGGAGAAGGATGCCTCGCTCACAGAAGATGTAAGTTGTCCAGATATACTCACGACCCCTATATGCTAACTGTCCCAGGTGGTGCTTGGCTTGCTTCGCTACTGGCCCAAGGTTAACAGCACCAAGGAAGTCATGTTCCTCAACGAGGTTGAGGACATCTTTGAGGTGATGGATCCTGCCGAGTTCGCCAAGGTCCAGGAGCCTCTGTTCCATCAACTGGCCAAGTCGGTGGCCAGCCCCCATTTCCAGGTTGCCGAGCGTGCGTTGTACTTCTGGAACAACGAATATTTCTGCAACCTTGTCAGTGACAATGTGGAGATTATTCTTCCCATTATGTTTGCGCCCCTGTATGAGAACTCCAAGGGACACTGGAACAGGTATGTTTTGGCTTTGAGCTGGCCGAATGAGGTGTTCTAATAGCATGACAGGACGATCCATGGCATGGTCTACAACGCCATGAAGCTCTTTATGGAGATTAACCCACAGCTGTTTGACGACTGCTCGCATGAGTACACTGAGCAGCAGAACAGTGCCGCGGCACGGGAAGCTCTGCGGGAGCGTAAATGGGCTGCTCTGAGCGAGAAGGCGAACCAGCAAAGGGAAAGCAACGGAACCCCCGACGCTCCTCCAGCACGAAACCACGTCACACCGATGTCACGCGTCGATGAGGTTGACCCTGTCACCGAGGATAACCAGAAGCGCCTCGACTCGCTTAAGTTGCAAGACGGTTCAGCCAGCGGTCGCCGACCCAGTCTCCACGAGCGCCAGAATTCTGTGGGATCTACCCGGAGTCGATAATTAAGACGACGATCCGGTGTCCTTTCGAAGCATGGGGGGAGTATAGCGAACGGGACGACGGTCCTTGCTGCATAGTCAGGGTTCTGCGGCGGCGGTGATGACAAGAAGGTCTTGGGTTTCTGCGGTTCAATAATGGGCTTGAGATGATGCGTCTTCGGCATACAGTCGCTTCCCGGGTTGGCCTGGGTCAGGCAGGGTGTTTATCATCGCCTCTACATCATGCCACTGGCCTCTCGACCTGTCATTCTTGGTTTTCACCTCAACTAGACCATGGGAGGCTACCCATGGGGAGGGAAACTGTGCAGTCGATATTACAATGCCACTGAGTTTCCTCCTCTCGTCTGCCTCGTTTCGTTTTGCGAGCTGAGAACGTTGACCCTTTGATACTGTTTATTGGAACAGGCGGGAGAGATGACAGACGGCGGGGAACCGAGCGCACAAAAAGTGGACGTATAAGCTTCTCGTGTAACTCTTTTTTTTTTGACGATTGTTGTTCTTTCTTGGTGGTGCTCTTCTTCTTTCTTCTTCACTCTTACTTCTTCTATTCCATCTTCTTTTTTGGTCGGTTTCTCGCTCCTCCCATGCGAACTCGGAAGGCCCAGGCGTATGGAGGAGCTACGAAGAGTTACTTTTTTGCCTGACTAGTCTTGTTCGAGTGCTTGTGTATGTATGTGTGCTTGTCTGTTTGTGGAAAGGGGGAGGGGGTCAAGGGGGGGTTAGCTTTCGTTGGCTTTTGATGTAGACGATGAATGAGCAAGACCGAAAAAAGTCATTACCGGGGTAGAGAGAAAGGGCTGACTGCGAGAGGACTGTGTTGCATGTCATGTACAGGATTCAACAGAATTGAGTGACTATTATATCTGTTTACGTCTAGAATAGTGGTTTAAAAGTGACTACACTTTGTGACCCCTGAATATCTTGTTCATTGTCCATCTTCATCCCCAACTTCCTCTCGACCGATCATACCCACCTCTTCCCCTCCCACGGAATGCACCGTTCCCTCGTCCTCCTTGGTACCCATAGTGAGGTGGTGGCTGGGGAGGCGGAGGGACACCCCATCCACCCATCATCTGAGGCATCATTTGAGCATTTGGGAACCAGCCCTGGGGACCTCCGGTCATATGCGGAGGAGGCGGTGGCGGTGGCCAGGCGCCTTGATATCCAGCCGGGGGAGGTGGAGGGACAGGGAAATCTCCTGGCGGAGGAATGGGAGGAAAGTTTGGTGGGAGTTGCTGTGGTGGAGGCGGAGGAGGGCGGTTTGAACGGTCATGAAACTCCCGATCATGATGGCGAGGTGAGCGTTCGGGAGACCGAGATCTGCTGTACGAGCCATGCCCCCTGGACCGTCTACCGGGGTTTGGACTCCTGCTAGGGGTGTAGCTGGGACTGCGACGTCGACTTCTACTTCCATCACGACCTCGGCTGTATGATCTGCTTCCCCGTTGTTGACTCGGACTCCGGCTGCGGGAGAGAGTACGACCTCTCGAGTCTCGTGAGAGTCGTCGACGTTTGGGCGCATGGCGTGATGAGCTTCGTGAACGCCCTCGAGAGTAGCTGCTGGATCTGGAGCGCGAGCGGCCTCTATTTCCACCTCTGGCATCCTTTCTCCTCCTCTCCTTCATCTTTTCGCAGAACTGACGGGACCAGCCGTAGTATGTCTCTCCACCAATGATTTCACCAGTGATTTCATCCAAGAGAACCCGTTCTCCCAGCTCATTCAAGTCCACACCGGGCTCATCGTTCAGTTTTTGTTCCCTAGAGAACATGCGCTCAACTTCACCCAGCAAGCCTTGCACCGCGTCTACCAGCACCTTGTCTGCGGGGCCAGGAGCTAGCTGAATGGGCCGAATGAGGTCTGGGATCATGGGTTTGGTTGAGTTGGGAGTCAAATGTGGGAGCCATGTCGTCGCAGGCAAGTCGTACCACGGCGTCGAAGGGTCGCCGTGAAGGGAGAGTAGGGTGTAAGGCGCGTCTTTGGCGAGTTTGATGGGCGCACTGGAGATTTGGGGGGCTTCGGTCGGTTGAGATGCCACGCCGCTTGCGAGCGCATCCTTGAGCTTCGAGATGATGTCGGCGCTAAAATAACTCTTCTCTTCCCATAATCGAATGAGATTTTCGAGCTTCCCCTTGTGTTTTGGGCAGTTGTCAAAAGCTGCGGCGCTTGCGACAAGACCGGGAAGGACGCCATCCCACAACGTCGCAAACTTGCCATCGCCATTTCTCTTGACGACGTGGTAAAACACGTCGTTTAGGACATACAAGAGATGCAATCTCTTCCGCTTGAGACTGGGACGCGAGGCGTCATCCTGCAAACTCTTTGAGAGGATGCCTAGGTATTTAGCCAGGGCAGCGATGCGCGCGGGCGAAGGCGCAACGTTGTCGACGATCCAAGCTTTGCATTTCTGTTTGACGGGAAAGCAAAGAAAAATTTAGTGCTTCTGCCAGGGAAAAACGGAGGGAGGCTTGTTTTTTAGCAAGCGATGGAGCAGACCTGGACGTTGGGGCGCGAGCACTGGGAGAGGGCGTTGGTGAGCAGCGGGAAGAAGGCGTCGACTACGGGACGGCTCAGGGAGGTTGGGTCGGCGCGGAAGAGCGTGGCGGAGAGTGTGGCCTTTGCTATGACCAACTCTGGAGTCGCCATGGCGGAGTTTGTCGAGGGCTCCTCTTTCAAAAGATGCTGAGGAAGAAATCACCATGTATAAGCAAGAACAAGGTCGTGGTGTTGCTGAAGCTCTGGTGGAGTTGAAGCTGGAGCCTCTAAGTTGGCTGAGCAAGCCGCCGGGTAATTCCCGGGGCAGTCGGCACGTGGGTGACGTACCGGCATGAGCCGCTTTCAATGCACAGGGCGTTGTATGCCGCTGATTGAGAGCACCGGCAGTTATTCACATCAAAGATGCCTTCATGGACCCTTTACCGAGTTGACAGGTCAATTCCTCCTTAACCCAATGCAATACAGACACCAATCCATTAGCCTCACAAGAGAGCGATTCTTCCCGTAGCAAAGCAGCAAGCGAGGTCGGCGACCGGGTTCAGGGCTCCACTCCAACCGGCCTTCGCCGTATTGTGTTGCATCCAGCTCATCCCCATCCCCATCCCCGAATGCAAACGCGCGCAGCTGAGCAAGTAAAAATATTTTGCCCTCGAGTAGTAGCCCATTGAGACTCCGTATGAGTAGAGTAGCTAAAGCAGTCTGGATTTTCCCCATTCACTTCCTATATCCTAGTATCAAGTCATGACGATGCGTTGGGTAGTTGTTGTACACGGCTCTGATCACGAGCCCTTGCTGTCCATGTGAAATCCGCCTCTCCGCTACCGGTCCTAAGAGAATCGATCCCCCTTTGGACTCCGGTATACTGTAGAACTTTCATATTTGCTCTTCTCTCCCACCCGTTGCGCCTCCGTCTCGGGTGCGTGTCTCGTAGGCGCCGGGTCGCTGCTCGCTTCTTGGCTCGGGGAGCCGGCGCTGTCGGTGCGCGCAGGGCTACCGTTACCCTGATCGTACTCAAGCGACTCAATCATCTGCTTCTTCTTGCGGTGCGCCTCGAGCTTGGCCTGACGGTCGGCGTTGATCTGCCTCTTGGCGAAGAAGTAGGCACCACCTCCAGCTATTTCCAGTCAATTCGGGTCCGGGACACAGTAAGCGGGGAGGAATGTCTTCGTACCGACGCAGAGGGAGCCCCAGCCCAGCCTAGAGGGTGAGAGATTTGGTCAGCTTCAAATTGGGTCATGTCGGAGGCGAAGTTGTAGAGGGACGAACCAGAACGATTTAACCTGCGCAACAGTCAGCAATGGCGGCGCAAATATAGCAGCATCCAGGACAACTCACGGTGTTCATCTTGACAGACAATGGCCAATTCTATGCGGTAGACAAAATTTTGGTAGCGTACAAGGCGAGTCGGAGATGTAGGATTCAAGAGGCAGGGTTTTTGTCAAGGTGTAAGTGGGATGACCTGACAAGATAAACGTTCCTTCAAGGTCCAGGCCCGGTCGGTCGGCGGTCGGCATCTACAGTACGTACCTGCCCAGAGAGAGAGCTCCGTCACGGGGAGCGGGTCCGCCGATAAGATAAGAAACTCGTGCCCAAGCCAGCAACCGAGTTCCACGGACACGGCACGGCACAAGCCCAACGCCTAAGCTGAGGCACGCTAGAACAGCTCTTGTCCAGGTGCCGCGTCAACCACAAACAACGGCCGAGCATGTCACCCGACACTGAGCAAAGACGAAACCCCGTTACAGGCTGTTGCAAGGGTTAATGGGGGGGCATCAGACACCCAATTTTAGCTCCTCAGATGCCCTCCCCCGCTGTGGCGCCTCTAGAGAGTGGTGGAGATGACCTGCCCCCGGTAACTGAATCTGCATGATGGCGTCTCCCGTTCGCGTTTCGAAGTGTTTGAATTATGAAACGATGAAAAGCATCGAAAGGATTGCCGTGGTAAAGCATATTTACATTACCATCTGCAGGCAGCCAGCTTAATAAATTGCCTTTGTTGAGACTGTGGCTTCTCCCTCTGCCAGTCTGTTTGTACGTACCGTCACGCGCTAAAAGCCAAACAGCCCAGGGGTTGTGTTGTACAGGCACGCTTTATGACATAAGGGTGGCTCAGCTAGCCGCACCGGCGGCTCGAAATTGTGAGAGCCACGCAAGACAAGTTGCAGCACGATCGACATCAAGGCCACGAGTAGAATAGGGGACCTCGTAGAAAAAACAAAGACACTTCTCCTGAGCGTCCCTGTGCTCGCGGCCTCTCTTTCTCTTCGCCTCTGGCCTACGTCCCGACCCCTCTGGCCTGTCAACATTATGCTAAAGCCCCTGTCACGACCACCGCCCAGCCGCTCCATCGATCCCCAACCGTTCTTCATCACTACCCAGCGCCGACTTTCGAGAGCTTCGTCCGTCTAACGGCTGCAAAACATCTTTTTCTTCTCCAAGCACCACCCTTCGTACCGCGACCACGATTGATCAACCTCCCGTTTCGTCGCCAGCTCGCGCGCCAGCCCGTCTGGCTCCAACCTACAACTCGACGCCCTGGCGTTGATGCCTTGATGAGCTCGACTGCTGGGCGTGGGTGTAGCGGGTAGAATCGCCCTCGGCCCCCGCTGTCGAGAAAGAAACATCTATTCCAGCAATATGGAGCCTACCAACGGAGAAGGGCCTGATGGCTCGTCGATTGTACGAGGTATTCCCTTCCCCTGGGAGAGCGTCGTTAGCTAACAGGTCTATAGAAACCCGTATCCTCTCTGCGGGCTCGGTTCGAGAACATGACCTCGACAAACACCGTCAGCAAACCCGCCGATGTCACAGCCCCCGCCCCGACTCCTTCACGGCCCATCTCTCCGGCCCCCAAGCCGAATCGCCTCCGAGATTTCAAGCCGGGCCAAGACGCTGCCGCGCCAGCGCCAGCGCCGGCCGTCACTTCGGCCCCCGTAGTACCTGCCAGGCCGAAAGAGCGGCCCAAGCCTGCTGCACTGGCCATCAGCCATGATGCCCCTCCCCCGCCGTCTCAGATGTCCGCACGACCTGTCCCGGCCGCGAAACCACATACGATACAGCTTCAGCAGACAGTGCCGCCGCCGCCCCCTGCTGTTACCGTCCTGCCGCCTCAATCACCGCCAAAGGGCCGCTTGTCGACTCTTGCGGTGGGGGACCAACCTCCGTTCCTCAACCCCGATACTATTGCAACACCTTCCACTCCAGGTGGTTCATCTCGAGGATTTAAAATACCAAGCCGATCACATACACCTTCACCATCTATTAGCGGTCCCAAATCACCACGGCCTGCCGGTTCAAGACCTCCCTCGCCACCTCCTCCAAGGCGATCAGGCGAGCTAAGGCGGAGTGATACTATTAAGACTGCACCACCTCCTCCGGCTCCTCGCAACGAAAAGGCTCTGATACCTGCGCCTAAATTGACGGCGGCCCCAGGACCCCCAGCACCTCGAAAGGGCGACATCTCTCAGGAAACCTCGCCGTTCAACAGTCCACCGAGCAGCGTAGCATCTGGAGATGGAACCCCTCCAAAGCTACCCACGCGACCAAGGCCGCAGTCTCAGATCGAGTTGCCTAGTAGACCTCGGTCTGTGATTGTTGGATTTGACCCTCCACCAGTTCATCACTCGGTTGTCAACATGCGGAAGGATCGTGAGCAGGAAGTCAATGGGTTCTCAAAAAGTATCACTCCTCAACCAACAGGTGAGGTTCGCCCTGCCTTACCAGCAAGGCCTGGGACCTTTGAAATTCCACCACGACCTCCTACTCTTAACAACAACAACAATACCATGAAACCCCCACCGCGACCTCCACGCCCAGCTGTATCTACAGCAATTCAACCATTGGAAAATATTCCTTCTACACCTCCAAAGCGTGTCGTTTCGACCCCGACGACGCAGCAACAACCTCAGCAACAGCTAGCTCCCCCTACACGAGGTCATGGTAGATCTATGACGATCGACAGAACCTCCGACCGAACGCCCGCAGAGTTTCGAATTGCTCCGGTGACTGCGGCGGCGCCCCCGATCGCAGCTGTTGCGCCTCCAAAGCCAATTCAGTCAACCGTTGTTGTTGCCCCTGCCAAGATTGCGCCAAAAGCCGACCCTATCCACCATGTCACAGCATATCCCGATGCGTCCAACACCAATCGCCGACCACCATTCATCAAGCATGGATCTTACGAGATTCAGACCAAGTACGACGCGAGGAACTTTGATGTGTGTGGTGAATTCATCTGCGCAAGTGGGCACATGACGAGGGTATGGAGCCTCTTGGATGGCGAGCTGATCATGAGCCTGTCCCATACGGAGGGTATCAGAGCTACTGCAGTGGCCTTCAAGCCAGCTGCTGACCCTCGAGAGGAGGGTAAGCGCATCTGGATTGGTACTAACACGGGTGACCTCATGGAGGTGGAGGTTGCTACGCATGCTATTACACCAGGAAAGCCAAATGTTCATGGTCGATGCGAAGTCACCCGAATTTACCGGCGTTTCAACGAGATCTGGACCCTGGATGAATTTGGCACGCTACTCGTATGGGGGCCTGACGAGACTTCCGTTGCCAACCTCACAGGGAGCCCAACGCAGAGCTACAAGGTTCCCAAGGGACACACCTACTCCATGGTCGTTGGGGACGAGCTCTGGCACGCTACGGGCAAAGAGATCCGCATTTTTGCCCCGACGGTCGATGGCCGATCTCAGTTCCAGGTCCTCGTCCGGCCACTGGTGGCAGACAGCGCTGGTGAAGTGACCTCGGGAACCCTTGTCAAGTCACAGCCAGACAAGGTCTTCTTCGGTCATGTCGATGGCAAAGTGACGATATACTCGACTACCGATTACACGTGTCTGGGAATGCTGAATGTCAGCACCTGGAAGATCAATGCCCTAGCGAGCGCGGGCAATTATATATGGGCAGCCTACAACACAGGCAAGATCTGTGTCTATGATGTTGAGGAGGCGCCGTGGGTAGTTCTGAAGGAATGGCAGGGGCACGACAACCCGATTGTGAAGATGATTGCTGACCCTTCGAGCTCATACTTTTTGGACCGCCAACAGATCGTCTCCCTAGGCGCTGATAACAAGATCAGGGCATGGGACGGTCTACTCGAGGACGACTTCCTGGAGGATTCGATGAAGTCCAAGGACACCCAGTATTGCGACTTTGACGAGCTCAAGGCTCTCTTCCTGACTTGGAATGCCGGCGCTTCTACACCATCCAGTCTCCGATATTCCGATGGCGATGCAACCTTCTTTCAGGACCTCGTTCAATCCAGTGGCTCGCCAGAAATCCTCGTGTTTGGTTTCCAGGAACTGGTGGATTTGGAGGACAAGAAGTTGACTGCCAAACGATTCCTGAAGCCCAAGAAGAAGGAAGCTGGGACAGATCAAGAACGAATGAGCCATCAGTACCGAGACTGGAGGGATTTCCTGCTCAAGACGCTTGATGACTACATGCCGGCAGACGATCTGTACCATTTGCTTCATACTGCTCCCATGGTTGGATTATTTACCTGCATCTTTGTCAAGTCTTCCATTCGAGACAGGATTCGAGGCCTCCATGCTGCCGAGGTGAAGCGGGGAATGGGTGGCTTGCACGGTAACAAGGGCTGTGTAACGGTACGATTCCGAGTCGACGACACATCGATCTGCTTGGTCAACTGCCATTTGGCCGCTGGACAGTCACAAGCCAACGCTCGCCACAACGATATTGCAGCCATTCTCGAGGCAAGCTTGTTCCCACCTGAACGAGACTCGGCAACTCGAGTTGACAATTTTGTTGGTGGAGGAGACGGCAGTCTCATTTTGGATCACGAGCTGTGCATTCTCAACGGTGATCTCAACTACCGTATCGATACCATGTCTCGGGACACGGTTGTTACGGCAGTGAAGCAAAATAACTTGGGAAAGCTCCTTGAACGTGATCAGCTTTTGGTGGCTCGTCGCCGCAACCCAGCTTTCAAGCTGCGAGCCTTTGACGAGATGCCCATCACATTTGCGCCAACATACAAGTACGATGTGGGCACAGACAACTACGATACAAGCGAAAAGAGACGAAGTCCCGCCTGGTGCGATCGTCTTCTATACCGGGGACGAGGACGAGTGGAACAACTTGATTACCGACGACATGAAGTCAGAGTGAGCGATCACCGTCCTGTGACGGGAAGCTTCAACCTCTGGGTTAAAAAGGTGGACGCGAGACGCCGAGCGAAGGCGTGGATGGAAAGCCAGCAAGGATTTGAGGACATGCGACAGAAAGAAACGTCCCAAGACAAGTGAGTTGATGCAAATGAGATGATATAGTGCCACAGCTAACTAACAATGACAGGCTTCTCTATCTAAGGGACACATGCGGCTTCGACGAAGAAACGAGCAAGAGGCTAGTTAAGGAAAAGTCTGCGAGACGAGACAACCGCAGCCCAAGTCGA